TAGAGCAGTGCGACCTAGAGAACGAATTTGTTTTCTAATTTCGTCCGTGCCCCTGTTTGTTGGGTTAATTTTTCAGATTAGTTCAGCTCAGCAATTCACAAAAATTTATTTGGACACGGGAGCACAAGCAAAGCTTTTGGAGAGGAATAGTGATGTAGGAAGGAGCGCCACCTTTGCAATGTGCACAGATGCGGGTTACATAGGTCCGCACGGTTCATCGTTCCAGCCCAAGTGCAGTGCAACATGTGGTACTTGAGATTCCAACGTCAGCAATGGTTTTGCTCCGGAGCGTGGGCATTGACACTTCGAAACCAAAGCCGTCTGCCAAGAGTGTATGCAGGTCGCTTGCAATCGCGTGCAGCAGCTCCATCCACACAAGGGTTCAAACGCGGTTTTCATGCGTGCTGTATATTTGGCTGTCGGAGATCCTTGCAAGATGATACCCCATCACAGCAGCTCTCATTGAATTGCGCATCTGTTTTCGGCGAAGGCGGCGACGGATTACAATCAAGCACAGCCAAATCAAAGTGCAAAACACTAACACATTTACACTTGACTACTTAGGACTTAGGCGTTGAGAAATGGTGTTTGCATAGTGCCGAAATGGTGGGTGTTCGTCGATGTGGCTTGTTTGGCGATGTCGTTGTGACAGCACCCTGCGTGTGCGGTTCGGGATATTCGGACATGGAGATTCCGAAGCATGCACTCCAGATTAGTGTTTGTGGTTCTGCCGGGAACTCTTTGTTACAATGCTTCATGAAGTCGCGCGTGTTATGACTCGACTTGCCAGGTTTTGTGGCCGAGCTCCATGGTGTCCCTTGCAGTCACGGAATAGACAGGATGCAATGGAGCAAGATGCATGTGGGTTCGTGTGTTCCAAGTTGTTTTCATGTGGGAGTGTTCATGTCGTACTGCGGTCGATGCTGGCGATGGCATGTGGCATGCAGGATGCACCATCCAATCAGTATGCGCTCGTCAAACTACCAGGTTGTTGTTCGAAGGCAGCCAACGACGAACAGCGACAAGGCAACGGATCGTGAGAGTCCAATGTTTTCGTGGCTTGTGCGTTGGACGAAGATGTGAAAAGTTTTTGTAGCAGATCACGGCGTGATCCCACTTCTGCTGGAGCAGGTGTCTTTCCTGGAGAAGGGAGACCAGATCACTGCCATAGAGGCCTGATTCGCGACCTTGTGTTTCGCTATCTGTTTGCAGGAACTGAGTATTTCTGCAGCCTCCATCTTCACAACTAGCTAGCACTCGCGCCCTCGAGATTCAACGTCGCCGATAGCAAAATCTCATTCCAAGATTTCGGACAGGATTGGTTGATGATTTGTATGGCTCATGCACGTCTTCGGCATGCAGAAGATGCACTGATTATCGAATTCAGCTTAGCATGTTCTGGGCTCGTCTAGACAGTGTTGAATTTTGAATACACATCACATCTCCAATATAACGCAGTTTTCTGTGAAAATCAAGAGTCTTAAGCTCGCAGATCGTAGGCATGCACGTTAGCTTGGTGCTGTGCCATGAAGCCATCTGAAGTGCTTTCGGCGTCAAACTTGCAGAAGGCACGGACTCAGGACATCTGGTTTTAGGAGAGCCACTGCTGTTAAATGTGGGCGGGCATGGGCATGGGCGGGCATGAATCATTTTGCTTGAGAGAAGTGGGTATCCTGGAACTTGTGAAGAGCCGTTTGAGGATCTTGGCCATGGTGCTCCGATTCGAAGCGTAGTGCTTCCGGCCGCATGCAGATCCCCGCAGGCCCGGAGGCATCAGTCGCAAGCTGAGCTGGATTGAGACCCTGCATTAAGTTTCCGCCCAACCCATCAGGAGCTGCTGGTCAATGCGCAACCAGGTTGGAAGGACACCTTCAACTCTCACGTGCACAGTTCTTCTTTGTTTATCAGGTACGGCGATGGAGCCACTGAGGGATGTCCTGACCTTTCAGCCTCAAATCCGCAAACCACGGAAGTCACAGGCAAGTCGGATCATGCCATAACCACATTGTTCGTGTTCCTCACCCAGTTGGGCTGTCCAACTGTTTTGCCAAGCTGTGGGTTTGGTCGTGTGCAGGTGCCGCCTCCAGAGCATCTTCGTGATCGTGTTTTGCAGACACGGCTTCTGGATGATTCCTTGAAGGACATTCTCGCTGCGTCGGCGATGTCGGCCTAGTTCCGTGCAAGTGCAGGCGGACTGCTTGGAGCGACTGGCCGGTGCAGCCCAGCGGGCGCCCATGGTCAGTTCCCAGAGACTCAGGAAAAGATGCTTCTTCTGCTAGTGACTTTGTGTCAAAAGCTTTCTGAGGTTCGGAGAGCATCATGGTCAGATGTCGCACCACCGCCACCGCCAGAGAGCGATGACGAGGCAGTGGATGCCTTCCAGTTTTGCAGTGTGCCACAGGGGCCATGGGCACTTTTCCAGGTCATAGAGTTCACAAAGGAGGATCTCTTCAAAGAGGATGCTCCGACGATTGAGGAGCAACCTCAAAAGTCTCCGGAAGCCAGTGGGGAGGCCAGGAACACGATCGTGCTCGTGCACAAGAAGTAAGTTGCCTCATGTTGATGCTTCCGTGCAAGTTTGTCCAGGACATGCATTCTCCCGAGCCACAGGACGAGGTCTCCAGTTTCCACTGCAAGCCTTCTCGAAGTGCACGCATTTTCAGTATCTTGCAAACATGTTTGGAAGTCTGTATTGTCAGACGCTCGATGCGGATCTCCGCGTGCTGACACCCTCGGAGCGTTCGGCACCTTCTGAGCGACGGGAGGCTGCGGGGTTGTGACACGTGGGCGACGTGGGCTTGTCGGGGTCATGTTAGACGACATTGGCCAGGGAAGTCGCAACACTGTTTTCAATGCAGTGAGCAGTTCAGGTCGCGTCAGTCGCTGCTATGAATCTGACGGATCTTCTGGCAGAGAATGAGAAACTCAGAGTGGCTGCTTCTCGTTGCAATGAGCGCCTCTTGCCGCCAGAGCGTTCTTGTAAACAGCTTTGTGCAAGGCAGGGCTGAGCGAAAATGAACACTTCTCCTGGCGTCCTGGTGCGACTATTCCGGCACACTCTGGCGCCTTGCCGTTCTTGATTCCCATGTCCATTCTCCCCGCTGCACACTTTCGCTTTGGCTTTTCAAGGGCTGCCGGTGGAGACCAGCCAGCCCCGTGGCTCTGTGTGCCGCAAGCGGGACACCGAGGCCCCTAAGCTGAAGTGTAGCTAAGGACGTTCATATCACCCGCAAACGAAGCTGATGCCCAGACATCATGACCGCACCAAGGCAACAGACTTCTATGGTGACTGGATCACAGGTTCTGCGGCCTTGCCGCACTGGCACTACAAGAGCTCTAGCACCCTATCTGCACGTCAAGTTGCAAGTTGAACGCACCAGATGCATCCAGACATCTGCTGCAGAGTTCTGCGATTCGAGGTCCGTTTCGCAGAAGATCGAAGACCTTGCCCAAAACGCCTCGCTCGCTAAGTTAGGGTCGCTGGATGTCAGACTGCGTCGAGGGTGCAGGCTTGTATGGCTCTGGCATGAGGAGCTTGCAGTCGAGTCCTTCAGCTGTGGAGGCTCTGCCACCGCTCAGCCAGGCTCAAATACCAAGCCAGGAAGCCACACCTTTTTTTGCAGTGCTGCCTCTGCGCTCCCGGCAGGCGTTGCCAACCTCTGCACATCTCGAAGATGCACGGCAGGCAGTAGAGACTGCCATCTTATTGCACGAACGGCATCGTGCATGGTAGCCAGGCCATCTTCGCTGCACGGGGCATGAGCAAGTCTCCGCCTTGGACACGTAGCCAGCGTTCATTAGATGCTCAGTGCTAGCATGATGGTCTGCGGTCAATGGTGGCCCTTTTTGACTCAGCCGGGTGCGATCATGCGGCTGTGCCCGCACATGCCGGCACCATGCCTGCAGGATCCTGCAGGCTGACGTGAGGGTTATGCGGTCATGCCTTGAGCCAGTCGCCAACTACATCTCCCTAGGGCTTCTCACATTCGCAATGTGGTTTGCAGTCTTTTCAATGGCCGCATCGCCCGAGGCTAGGGGTGCAGCGAGGCTGCGACTCGCTGCTGCGCTTGTCGCTTCGTGCAGACCTCGAGAAGCGCAATGCCTTAGAACTTATCCTCAGAGCAGGGATGCAAAGTGGAGCTGAGGCTTTGTGGCCCAGGCAACGTGAAACTCAGCGTATCACAAAACAAGATCTGCTCTCCAAAGGAGAGCTGTGAAGGGCAATGAGGAGATGGAAAAGTGCTTCACAGGGGAGCGCTGTGAATCTGGGCAGTGGGGTGGCGGAGCTTTGCCCCGAAGTCTCTGTGCCAGGTCTTCACAGAGCAGGGCATCGAATGGGCCAAGCTGGCCAAAGGCTCTGTGCGACATACGTTTTGCTATGTCATGTCCTCTTTGTTCTTGTGAGATTTTTGCACGATGAGACGCCGCAGCTTCAGCTGATGCGGTGTATGCGATGTAGTAGCTGGGAGGTGCATGTGCCATACGCAGCCACATGCAACAGGAGGCGGGCAGGGATCGCTGGGGCGTAGCACGAAACCCCGGAACATGTTCCAAGCACAGGTGCCGCTGGACCTGGCAGAAGATGGCTTCGTGGCGACAGTCGGGGACTCGTCTGGGCTCCGGGCGTCTCCGTATGCGGAAGCTGTAGACCATGGGTCTCTGCACACTCTCCCAGGCGAATCACACAGTCTGCTCTTCTGCTCTTGTGAGCGACTTTTGGAGCGGTGTAGGGTGCATCGATAAGGCCCTTGCGCCCTTCGGCACACAGCTGCGGAAGCAAACAGCGGCGCCCACATTTTGCCGCATTCATCGCAGTTGGATGGCGAGCAAAGGTCGGGGCATATTTGCCGCCAGGAAGCCATTCAGGATGGGGCGGCCAATGCAGTGCTTTCGAAGAAGGTCATCAACGAAGCTTGGGGCTGAGTGCAGGTGCTGGCCTGTGGCCTGCTTTGTGCCCATTGACCATTGATACATGATCAGGTCCTGTCCATGAGCTCCGATCCAGGCCACATATTGTTTTGCACCTTCCCAAACCGGCGCAGGGCACAAGACGGACACGGTACTCGAATTTGGAAGAGCTCAGCTTGATGCACTTGACTGCCGCAGTTCATCTTACCTGGATCAAGAAGTACGGATGTTGATTGTGTTTCCTGTAGTTATCACTGCATGAAGTATCTAGTGGCAGTCCCCATACAGGTCGCATCACAGTATGTGATGTGTGATCCGATGTCTCATGCTGACAGATCCTACAGAATTGAAGAGACTCGGTAGCGGGGCGCCATCCATAGAACGAAACCTTCCGTTTTAATATCCCCGACTGTGCCTCTGTCTTGCAGGTTCACGGCTCAGAATGTTTGAGTGTTGTTGCTTTGTGTGTTTTACACGATTTTGCACGGATCTCGGGTGATTCAACTCCGGGCTTTTGGCCTTCCTCGCATGCAGTGCGTGAATCGCAAGTCTGGAGAAGGAGTGTCAGAAGGCCAGGCAGGACTCTGTGGCAAACCAGACCCCAGAAAGATGCGAGGCACGAGCTAAGATCGCCTGCTAGTCCTCTGAACCCTTGCCGACTTGCAGCAAATCAACCCCATTGTGTCAGTCAGGGCTGGTGGGCTTTCTTCCCGAGGTTAATGCGGCTTGCTAGGCAATGCTCCTTCCGATTCTTTGGTGTACTCTCTCGAACGCTCTTCGGGGCTGGGCCTAACAAGAGATTCTTGAGGGCTTGGAACTTCATGCGTTTTCCGTTGTTTGGCGGGTAGAATCATTGCTTCCGGGTCGAGTGCTGACTGAGGTTGAGCACGACCTTCCTGTGTCTTCACCAGAGATGGTGCGACGGGCTGCGATGGGGCCTGGCTGCTTCGAAGTATTCTGCTCGTGACTTGAATCAGGCTCCCATGGAGTCGCTTGATGTGACTTCCAAGAAAGAGCTGCTGAAATCTGGCCGCAAGGCCAGGTCGTGCCCAAAGCACGGAGCGTTGAGATCACATTCTCTCCAATACATGTGGGGCTGCAACGTCCAAAACCATGAGACCGAAGACAGGGACAAAAATGGCCCCTGACTCCTGAATGAGGCCCCTGAACTGTTCGGCTGTCAGGTGCCGCCTTCGCCTCCCAGGCCCCGGCCAATGCCTGCTGTCGAGGCAGGGCGACACATCTTTCTCAGCTTAGCTTTTTTGCTTCGGAGAAACTCAAACAACAAGCAGAGTAAGCACAACAGGATTCAGAGGCTGAGTTGCTTTCATAAGGGCACGGATGTCTAGCCATGGTAAGGAGTCTTTTTTCCTTGAATGGCAATGCCTTGGCATGCCAAGATTGCGTTGTGTCGTGGTTGGCAGCACGCCCTATGCACTTTCTGTAATTTTTCTTCTTAGTGATCTCGAATTCGCTTTCCGCTCTTTATCGGAGCGGCCTGGCCAACTTCGTGGAAGCACCTGCGGATGAAAGCAGACAGCCCTGGAAGGTACCTTGGTTCATGCTGGGGGAACCTGCCATTGACACTTTGACCAGGCCTCAGTGGGATTGATCTGTACAAGGCCTAAGATTGGCTTACGGTACGGAATCTTGAGGGATGTCATGCATTTGTTGGGAAAGTAAAGGGCAGTTGTAGCAGTTGTAGTTTTTGCTTGTGGTGTGGTTGTAGTAGTTGCATACGACGACGACAGCCAAGACAAGCCAACACAAACATTCACAGGAGTGTCCCTCATCACAGCACCACACCTCACACCAGCCATCACCAACCTCACATGCATCGACGGAAGATTGCTTCACTTCACCATCGACACCGTCGAAGCACCTCTTAGCTTACTAGCAGTTTACGCCCCACACAACACCTCACCACTCACAGGGAGCACGCTCCCTTCCTGATGGTCGGCGACTTCAGCGCCCTTACACTACACGACTCGACGAGCTGGCAGCGCTACCACACGCTGTCGGGCCACACTTCGTCCCAGGCAAAACTGCTCAGGACGACGAAGCCGACAACACAGAGAAAGGAATAGAAAGGAGACTCTAACCAACGACAGCTCGACGACCTCCTTTCCTCACAGGACTGCTACCTCCCACAAGGCCGGATGGAGAAGGCACCACAACACGGCCACACGCACAAGCGATCCAACGGCGACATGGATGGCGATGACGATAGCTATGATGATAGGAATGACAATGACAATCTTGCTCCCTGTTGCTGCTGTTTTCCTGTTACTACAAAAGTCTCGTGTTTTGTGGGCTTTCCAAACAAAAACTTCAAACACGGACCCAAAACTCACGCAACAAAACAACGATGATCACGGTATTTACGATGCTTTCGCAAAAATCACACCAGAGAAGAATAACAAAACACATGGACAAACCAAGGGGCAAAACATCCTCTTATTCACAAGTACCACACAAAACTTGATGTTCTCGGGCTCTTGGCAGAAGAAAAACCTCCAAAAAAGAGAGACCCTCTGTGGCGGCAGACACAACGCCTACCCAGTTCGTGTTGTTGTTGTTGTGGTGTACTGCTTTTTTTTACTTGTTTGTGTGTTGGTGCGGATGGATGCCCGCGGCAACTGCTTTTCGTTGCACAAAGGCAGGGAAGCACAGATACTTCTTTTGTTTGCTCAAGGTGCACCGGCGCACTCAGCTGCTATCTCTGCCAGACTGTATCTTATCTGAGCAGACTACAGAAACTCGAGCTCCTTTCGGCCGTGCCTAATGCGTGGAAGCTGCAGCTCTGGACCATCGTCCTCACGGTACAAGTCTTTGCAATGGCCATGGTGATGGCCCCGGCAAAGACAGTTCCAGCTGGCGACTTGCATCCGAGCACGGTGTTGGTTGCCGCCACAAACGAAGGATTGCTGTTTTCCTGTCAGTGCAGGCTCCACCGCCGCGATACCTAAATATGCATTTCATCTCGATAAACTAGTTTTGTGTATGCTATTTGGGCCATGCAAAACCAAGGCATTGTTGCCAATAGATAAATCGCCCAGAAAGACTACAGAGTTCGCTCGTTGAGTTGCAAGAAGCTTCCCGGTCCCTCTAACAATCGCAAAATGTCTGCCGAGGAGCAATCATCCCGTGATGGAGACCAACCTTTTGATTGGAGAACCCACGGCAGTCCGCGCCTTCGGATTGTGTAAATGCCGGGCTTTAGACTCGGATGGTGAAGACGAAGACCCTTTCATGGTCCGGATCTGTTGGAATAAGTGCTTTTGACTAGTTCCATCTGAGGTCAAAACTGCTCCGTTTGAATCGCTCCCTGACTCGCATGGGGAGAAGGCGATGGGTCCGGACTGTCAGAACTCTGTCAGGCATTGCGTTTGGCAGTGGCCAGGATATAATCAACGTCAGGGTGGCGTCGCCGGCACAAGAGCAGCACCTCAAGCTTGGTCTGGGTCTTGGCGCAACTGGTGGCCACAACTTACCGGGATCACACGACGGGAATCTCATGCCTCGAGGCGTAAGTCCAGTCCTGCTGGCCGCCATCGACCAGGCCTGGCCATGGGGGCAGTGCCACGTTCTACACATAGCAGACATAGCAATGCTGCACGCAGCGTTGGACCTTGGTTGACAGGCCTGCAAGACCGCCTGAGTCGCCCGAGGAGCCACAGGCGCATCGGGTGGCGAGGCGAGCCTTCGGCTTTCGCATGCCTTCGCATCTGGCCAGGCGGTTCATTTGGCTTTGTCCGTGTGAGAGCCTTGGAGATCTCGATCTTGCCAACCCCGAAATTTGTGCGGCTAGTTACTGTGAGAAGTCGACATCGTTGCCGGAACCTTTTTGCATGCAGCAGTACTTGGGCAAACCACAAACATGAAGTCGTTGCCGAATTATGTGAAGTTGGGGTTTGCGAATATCGTCTACCATACACGAGTCTTTTGAGCACGTTGGGGGTATCGTTGCGTTCGGGCTGTCTGCTTGGGATTTGACATGTTACGCTGAGAGGCACGATAGGCCTGCAGGAGTGGAACGTGGGCCGAACATGGAGGCTCCCACATCATTCTTCGAAGGCACCATGCGCAAGCATACAACGTGGTCCTTGAAATAGGTCTTGGAGGGTTATCGTCGTAATACAATAGAGAGGGACAGGTATCGCCCCAGACCTGAATAAAAGCTGCAATTTCAAAGTCTGGGACGAATTGTGACGGGAGGAAGCTAGATGGGGAATGTGGTTACTGTTTTTAGCTTAGTTTGATTATTTGATGGTGCCTGTTGGTTTGGGGGATGCGGCTACTGTTTTTTGCTTGCTTTGAGTGTATATTCCTGGCGTGTGTAGATAGGGAAGCACTTGTCGGGTAATGACCTAATTGACTTCACCGTGATCGATGCGTTCAAAAGGCTTTCATCATTCACCGCACGACCGGTTATGACTTCAGCGTTTGCCAGTAACATCCTCTGCACACACACGCAAGAAGCCGCAGCTTGAAGCTAGATGCAGTCGAAGGCATGCTGTAGAAGATGCAGGTTTAGAAACTCAGGCCTCAACTACATTGCAAAACCACGCACCCACACACACACACACACGTGGCCGTTGCATCGTAAGTTTACGAGAGCCACGTTGCAAGTATGGGTCACTGGCGATCTGAGCTTCCAAGGAGGATTTTTTACCACGGGCATACAGGTACTTCCAAATGCACAGTCCTGAAAAAGATGGCCGGTATGACGGCGGGCGACCTTTCCTTCATGGGTTCGGTGACTGAGTAACAGAATACATACATGTATGTGCTTATGGGTGTCGTTCACCGTTGCTGCGTGTGTGTATAGGTGGCCTAGGAGCCGCTTTTGTCGGCTGCATGGGACCCTGGGATCCAATTCATAGGGCAAGAGTAACAGTTACAGGCAGAGTACACCCACAGCGGACTGTTCTGGCTTCGTGCGAGCTCGGCGGACTCATGCTTTCGCTGACAGCGCTTCGCATGATACCCCAGCAGCCAGCAGCTCGCAGGCCCTTTGAGCAGAATCATATTTAAATTTGCGCGTCGATGTCAGGGCCCGGTTCCTGTCGAAACTGGCATGCTGCTTTGCTGTGTTTCAACGCTCTTGTTTACTGTGCCCGGGTCGCTGCACACTCTGAGTTCCGAGGCTTAGGTGCAACCGCCGGCCAGGAAGGATGCTGCTAGCGTGGCACAAGCGCTCCAGACTTGCCAACCGTTCCTTGCTTCCACTTCCCATCCTTCTGAGTGGCGGTCCAGTGGCAAATTTTGCTGCATTTGAAGCTGCAGGGCTATTGGAAATGCATTGAGTGCCCTTTGCTCAGACGACGCTGCTGATTCTTTTAATCATTGTTCAAGCGCAGTTCCTTCTGATCGCTTAATGCTGCTTCCCAAGATTCGTTTGTCGGCCTGGTTTGCATCGTAGTTGTTGTCATTGCGCAAGCAGAGCTGGCCGGTCGTGCCTCGCTTCAGTTAGAATCAATCCTGTCAGTGCCTTTCAGTGCTTTTGTTACTTCTTGGGGAGCAATCTTCCACACAGGAACGGCAGAACGATACTGCGAGAGAGCAGTATAGAGCAGTTTGCGCTCTCGCAGCAATCCCGACCAAGTCACAGGCAACCAGGTTGAGCATGAGCAGCAAATTTGCGCCTTCTGAATGCAGAGGACCAGCTCTGTGCTCTGTGCACTGTCTTGCCCTCTCTGGTTGCCCTTGCTGCCCTTTTCTCTGAAGGCTAGAAGCCTGGCCGTGCAGGTGTAGCAGTAGGACAAAACGGAGATGTTCCCTTGTGGCGCATCATGGCGCATCTACAGAGAATCACCATGAAGCTGTCGGAGTATGAAAACGGTGGCAGTCATTAATATTGCAGAGCACGTCACGTACAATTTCTGTCAACGACAGCGAAAGCACGTATTCCTTGCTGAAATGATGTTGCCAAGGGGGCACTTCGGAAGCCATGTACGGGCTCCATCGTTGTCACCTTTCCCGTGGCCACCATGGTCGGCCAAAGGGGTCGTTAGCCTTCTTGAAGTTTATTATCTGCATGAAGAATGTTACGCACACCGTGGCTTATGACTCCTGCGGTGCGCAAATGACGCACACATGCATCTGCAGGCGGCTGTCAGACAAGATGATACCTTACTCGATTCATAATTTTGTTTATGGAGGTGCATCCTGAAGTAGATTCATGTGTTGCCCGGACCTACCC